ACAAAAATATCATTGGGTGAACAGTGTGGTTCCGTAGTGTCTTACATTTTGATACAAATATGAGAATATTCCTCTTGTTTAATATAGTTAACAATCTTTTAAAATTTTATATTAATACATATATTTTGTTAAATTATCAATCTTGATTATTCAATATTACAATGTTATTTTTGTGTCAATCTCTATATTCTTAATCTCACTCCTTTTACTTCCAATTATATATTAATAATCATATTTGCAGTGTTTACCAGATTATATAGTTCTAATAACAATTCACAAATTCATGTTAAATTATAATTTTCCATTGTTTATCCCCTTTTTAATTTCTAAATATGTCACTATTATTAAAATTCCCCTTTCTCGTCACATTTTGATTCAAATAAAATAGTATTCATCATATTGTCAGCATTCCAGAAAAACCCAACTCCAATTAAAAACTCCAAGACAGGCATTTTCTCAGTTTCCTTTTATTAGAGTAGTTATACTGGCACACCTAGGAAAACCTGAATATGAAAGTTCCGGATTTTCCTCCAATAAGTAAAAAATTACAAATCCACCCCCAGCCCCCATCATTCCATCACATGCCCCAATCACCATCCATTCCAACTACTCAGCCAGGTGCAGGAATAACACGACCTTGACTGCTATTATGTCTAGAATGCTATTATGTCTAACCGCATACGCTCCATGAAATCCCCACTCCCAACTCCCCACGCTCAAGAATTTGGCAGCATGGAAGTTTCTGGTGCTAATATGACTTCCAAAGCTGACACATATTTACGTTTAACAAGTTATGCAATTCTAATAATACAGTTGTTTTTATTAAATTATAGCCTTTCATTATCTTATGCAATATTTCACAATATTATTTTTATATCAATCAAATTCCGTGTAATTCCCTTTCCTGCAATTAAGTAAGATTGAGGAGTCACTGGACTGTTTATCTGCAGCTTAGGATATCTGTGCAGATCTTGTTAAAATGGTTTCTTACCTTTCTCTTTTCATTTTGTATTAATCCCGGTCCCCCTCTGTGGTCTTCTAAGTACCACAGTATCATTTAGAAGAAAGGAACTGGTTAGAGATAGTCAGTCTGGAGAATTGACATCTAGTCTTCCAGAATTACTGGGAATATAATCGGAGAGGAATGTTTTGGCTTTATTTCACTTGTCCTAATTAGCACCATATTTTTTTTCCTGGAATTCTACTGCAATAATTTGGCTTTGGCACATTTGACAAAAGGGTTTATGCCACATCATGATGTCAAAATCTAGGCTGTAGGACACTGCATTAGTTGTTATGTTCTCTCATGTTTTGCATTTAAATTGTTGTCAAATACCCAGAATTAGATGAGTTGAGCAACGATGCCGATGTTTTAAATTGAGAAATAGCATTCATGCTGTCATTCCTCATTTTGTTCTTCCTCCAAATGTCCAGGATTGTTGTCAAATACCCAGAATTAGATGAGTTGAGCAGCGATGCCAATGTTTTAAATTGAGAAATAGCATTCATGCTGACATTCCTCATTTTGTTCTTCCTCCAAATGTCCAGGAATAGGTGCAAGCTAGGGATTGTTATGGGGATAGCAAACTATATATTATACAGTTTTCTGATTTCTTTTTCTCCTCCCTCGAGCAGTTGATGCGCAGAAAAATGAAAATTACCAAGAACCAAGTGTGACGCCATCACAAATAATCAAAACTGAAATACGAGAAGATATATCTGCAGATAAGTGGGGAAGAAGGAGATATGAGAAAAAAGGATCTTACAGTTGGAGAGAAAACTCGACTGCTGAATGTGCAGAAAGGGAACACTTCCAGATTCAACATGATTTCAAAGAAAGCAGTATGGGAAAGTGTCAAGGAAATGGGAAGAGATTCAAACCAAAACCCAATTTCAGTAACCACGGCAAAATTGGAAAAAACTTCAACAATAACACCAAAATTATCCCACATAAAATAATCCATACAAAAGAGAAGCCCTATAAATGTATGGACTGCGGAAAGAACTTTAGGTGGAGAGGTCATCTTAACTACCATAAAAAGATCCATTTGGGGGAAAAGCCCTTCAAATGCGCAGAATGTGGAAGAAGTTTCAATATGAACAGTTCCTTGACTTATCATAAAAGGATCCACATGGGAGAGAAACCCTATAAATGCATTGACTGTGGTAAAACCTTCACTATGAACAGTGCCTTTACTTTTCATAAAAGGATCCATATGGGAGAGAAACCTTACAAATGCCTCGAATGTGGAAAAAACTTCAGCACCAGAAGTTACCTGACCTCCCATAAAAGAATCCACACAGGGGAAAAACCCTACAAATGTGTAGACTGTGGGAAAAGCTTCAGTATGAAAAGTTCCTTTACTTACCATAAAAGGATCCACAGGGGAGAGAAACCATACAAATGCCTGGAATGTGGAAAAAGCTTCAGTATGAATAGTTCTCTTACCTATCACAAAAGGATCCACACAGGAGAAAAACCCTATAAATGTCCAGTGTGTGGAAAGAGCTTCAGTAGCAGCAGTTATCTAACTTCCCATAAAAGGATCCATACAGGGGAAAAGCCCTATAAATGCACAGAATGTGGGAAAAGCTTCAGTTTGAACAGTTCCCTTGCATCTCATAAAAGAATCCATACAGGAGAGAAACCGTATAAATGCACGGATTGCGGAAGGAGCTTTAGCAGCAGCAGCTCCCTTACTTGCCATAAAAGGATCCATTCAGGGTCGAAACCTTATATATGCAATGAATGTGGGAAGAGTTTTATTTCAAGCAGCTCCCTTACTAAACACATTAGTATCCACTCAGGGGAGAAATTATACCCCTGTACAGAATGCGGGAAAAGCTTCAGGTTGAATAGTCACCTAACTTCCCACAAGAGAATGCATTCTGGAGAAAAACCTTATCGATGCACAGATTGTGGGAAAAGCTTCAGTATGAATAGTTCCCTTACTTCTCATAAGAGGATCCATTCAGGGTTGAAACCTTACATATGCAAGGAATGTGGGAAAAGTTTTATTTCTAGCAGCTCCCTTACAAATCATGTTAGTATCCACATAGACGAGAAACTATATCAGTGTACGGAGTGTCTGAAAAGGTTCAGATGGAAAAGTCACCTAATTTCCCATGAAAGGATGCATACTGGAGAGAAACCCTATAAATGCGCGGACTGTGGAAAAAGCTTCAGTAAGAACAGTTCCCTTACTTCTCATAAAAGGATCCATACGGGAGAGAAACCCTATGAATGCGCAGAGTGTGGGAAGAGATTCAGCAAAAGCTGTTACCTTACTTCCCATAAACGAGTCCACACACGGGAGAAACGATAGATATGCTCCGAATATGGGAAAGAGTTTTTTTGTGAAAAATGGGATTTCTTATGCCTAACACAAATTACAGCTTCGGAAAAAAATATATACATGCATGATGTGTGGAAAGAATTTCATACGGTGCTTGCTTCGGCAGCATATATACTAAAATTGGAATGCTATAGAAAGTTCATGTGGAGCAATCAATTTACTTTCCATAAAAGGACTGACATGGGGGAGATGCCTTTGGGGGTTGAAGTGTCCTGAATTCCTGTAAAAAGATCGACTGTGATATCAAACATATACAGTAAAAGCAGAGCTTCACTTAATAATTATGAATTGATGTGTCTTAAAGGGTTCCACACAGGGAAAATAGCATGTAAGCACATACTATGGGAAGAGCTTAAATGCTTTCGTTTCTGTATGTGCCTTGCAGATAGCTTTGCCACTGCTGTCATCATAGGGCTGAGAGAAAGTGACCGGCCCAAAATCACTTTGTCTAATGTGGAACTAGAACTCATGGTCTCCCAGTTTCCAGCCTGGTGTCTTAACCACTCCACCAAGCTTTTTCAAGTGGAATAGAACCTATTTTTGGAAAATAAGTTATTGTAGGTATGCATGGAAGAAACACTAGAATACATAAAATGCAGGAACAGTTTGAGAAGGAAATGTCCACTTGGGAAAGGAGTCTATAAATGCAGGGAGAAGTTAATGAAGGGCAGGTCCCTTAGTTCCCATGATGGAATCCATATCGAAGAACCACAAATACATGCGTGGGAGAAGAATTATCAAGTTGGAGTCTTGAGAACTTTAGTATAAGGAGCTCTTATTTCCCAGAAAAAGTTTCACATAGGACAGAATGCAGATATAAATGCATAGAACAGCAAGAAAGTCAGTCTTTTTATCTGTCTTACAGTGTTCCCCATAAAAGAATTGACTTTAAAAATCTAATAAATACAATGCTCCCACAGAAAGAAGCGAACAGTTCAGAGGATCGTCATAGGAGAAACTGAATAAATGTATGAATTATGGAAAAAGCTCCCAATCTAGATTTTTTTAATACCAGAGATGTTACCTAGTTATGTCTTGCTCACAAGAATCTTTTATTACATTGTCCTGTTTATTATGCCAGTATTTGTCAAGACCTGTGCCTGGTCAGTTTGCTTTATTTAGGTAGAAGCAATATCTTAAGTTGTTCTGGGATCAGGCTGCTCTGTGAAGAGCTGACATACGCAAGCAAAGCAGAGGAAAATATGTTTGTGTGTGTTTCAGCTCTAATTGTATTGAAAATACCGGCCTTCCTTCCATATATAGCCAAGTATTTCAGCTGTTTGTTCTTTTTTTCCATATATAATGATGTGCATTAGTTGTGGTTTATCTGTGAAACATCTCTTCCAGGTCTTTATATGTACAATCACATTAATCCTGCTGTAAAGAGAAATGTGGCCAGTGAGTTTACGATTGCAACTATTTACTTTAAAAATGTTTTTATGGATCCAACAGTGTATTCATATGAACAATATTTTTTAAGGAGGGAACTAAATAGCTTGATTTAAATTACTCAGTGTCTTCTAACCTGGACCATATTTTCTAACATATTTTTATCTGTCTGTCTATCTATCTATCTATCTATCTATCTATCTATCTATCTGTCTATCTTTCATTTCAAAGTGTATGTGAGTGTCCGATAGAGACACACACTTTCTGGATTTCTGTTACATTCCCAAACTGCTGAATTTCTCCAGGATTTCATTATCACTTTAGTACCACTGTATATTTTGTGATATCAAAGTAATGAGAAAGGTCAATCCTATTTGAAATTTTAGGGGACTGTGGCACTGCCAATTGGAAAAGATCTTGTGTTGGTGTGGTTGTGACTGTGTTTTTACCTTAATATAGCTTTTAAAAAATGTTTCTGCATGTTCTGATTAACTGTATTTCTCATTTTGAAGGGTTATTATAATAAATTATGAGAAACGATCATTGCACAATGTAAACGATGCCTCTACATAATATACATGCAGTAAAGAAACTAAATGGGGAAAAACAAATGAATATGTGGAGCAAACTTTAGTAAGGGGTGAGGAGTGGAATGGAAAGAAAGTGACAGAACAAGCTCAGATAAAACTGCATCAAAAGAATCCCACTGCACAGATGATGATTACATAGAAATCCATGGAATGTGAAAAAAGAAACAAGGCAAATTGACCTATAAGAAATGAGAGAAAGCCCTGCCTCTAAAATGTAGGAAGATTCATTACATTTCTTATAATGTGGCATTTTTTTCCAGAATTTTCCTAATTATGTAAATTTTACATCTGTGGAGATAATCCATGGGACATTGAAGGTGCTTTACCCAACTTTCTTCTTCCTTTACACCAGAGGACTCAAAGAGGAGGCAGAAAACTTTAGCCTTGCCTTTTTCTACAGTTGTGCAATGTAAATGATGCCCTACTTTACACACGTTGAACAAAAAGGCTAGATGAAAAAACAGATGAATATGTAGGAGAACTTATCGGGAGAAGGGAGAGAGTGATAGAAAATGTTAGCAAGTGCTAGAAGGGTGGAATGAGCTCACATCCGACTTAATTTTACACTGTGCATTGAAAACCATAGAATGAGAAAAGCATTAGTAAAGTAGATCTATCTGTGAAAGAAGCAATCAATAAGAGACATTATATCCAATTTTTGGAAGAAATATCCTTCTGAGTTCAGTTCCAAGTGGGGAAAAGACACTGGAAACATGGAGGCTGTTTGGAAAGATGGTTTAATGATGGACAGGACCCCATGGCTTGGAGCTCCAAAGTGAAAAGGGCAATCACATGCTTCAAGATGTTTGGTGAAGGAAAAGAGAGAAGGGCTGAAATGCTGAGAGTGCCTTGGTTTTATACCCTCTATTGGGATTTAAATTTGAGCTTGTATTCTGATTGGTTGTCAGACTTCCATGGGGCCATGCAGGAGAAACTCTGTAGGCTGTCCTGAGTCCCAGGCTTGGTCGACCCTTACTGGATGATGATGCAGTGAAAGGGCTTTGGATAATTCCTATTATAGCTCTACTGGAACAGAACTTTGTTATGTAAAATAGACTGGCCTAGGCCAGAGTAATGGTCCATTAGCAAAGGTGAGGGAGGGGCTGAGTTTTTGTTTCTAAGATTCTGCTTCTGAGTTTCTACTCTTTTTAGGGGAAATATTCTGCCTTTTTTAATGTTTCCTAGGATATTTCATTTTTCTAGGAGAGGGGTGGGTGCTAACTTCCTTACACTATAAAATGTGGAACATTCCTCATAAAATCTTTGTCATTTTTATTAGAATTGTCCTAATTATGTAAATTTTACATCTGTGGAGATAATCCATGCGGTATTGAAAATGCTTTGGCCTACTTTCTCTTTTTCCTTTGCACCAGAGGACTCAAAGGGGAACCAGTAAATGTCACCCTTTTGCCTTTCTACAACTTGGAAGGCATTTTTGGCCTTTTAAGAATTTGAACTAGTGGGGAAGTCCAGGCAAGTCTGTAGTTATCTTCTCAATATCATTAAATAATGTATTGAATGAATAAGTCCATTCAATATTTTTTTTTATTCTCCAGCCAGCAATTCCACTCTTTTCCTTTGAAAATGAAGCCGACAGAAACAATATTATTCTGAAGGGTCTTTGGGGAAGAGTGGAGGCCAAAGCCTGAAAGGGATCTTGAGTGTGGAGATCTGGGGATCTTCCAATATATTCTCAGTGATGGGGTGACTTCAAAGGGTCCCTTGGGGTGGGGGGGTGGGGATCCCATCAGAGAAGCTGGAAAGGGGCTCCTGAGGGGGGATACTAAGGGGGCAGAGGGAGAAGAGGGGACCAGAAGTGTCTGAAGCAGAGAAAGAAGTGACCAATTCAGTGACTGACCCAGAGAAAGGTGTCCAGTCCGTCCCTGACGACCTCTTAAGATCCCCCCTCCCTCCGATGGTGGCGCTTCCCTCAGAGTGGCGTCTCTCTTTCTCTCCGCTCTTCCCGCCAGAATAGGCTCCGCCCACTCCTCTCGGAACCCCTTTTCCCGCTTCTCCGTCTGAGGGAATCGCACTGGGAGAGGCGCGGCCAAGAGGAAAGGGGTGGACTCACATAAGCTCCCGTCTCACCTGGGGGGTCCCAGTCCCGTTCTTCCCCCTCCCCCAGCGCACCAATGGTCCCTCCCACCCCTTACTGTGGGTCCTCCTTTCCCTGTCCCCCATTCGCTTCCAGGGCTCCCGACCAACGTCCCCACACAGCAGCAAAAAGCGGGAGCCCATGATGGCTTCCCCCAAACCCCCTTCCCCAAGAGCGGGGAGAAGTAGAATGGGGGTCGGGGGGTTGTCAGGGTTACTTCGGAGTTGGCTTTCAAAGGAATAAGTCGCGCCCAATGGGAAGACTCCCTTCGGTTGAGTCATCAGTCTCCGGGCAGAAATCTCTCGTGATTATCTCCGTGCGGAGAAAGTGATCGTGTGCAGCGCAACTGGGGGACCTTTCCGTGTTCAACTGAAGGGCCCCAAGCGAAGCCATGTCTGTGGGAGGCAACGACTGCTGAGATGTGGAAAGCCCCAGCTACTAGCGGATGAGGCCCCAAATCTAGAGGTCTCCTCCAGCCACAGCTCCCTCGGTTTTCCCACGACCCGCGTGTCGAGAGAGAGAGAGGGAGGGCGTGGTGTAATAGTAAATAATAGTAAAAAGTGGCGACTGAGGCGATTTATTACCGATTCAAATCGCCCCTTACCACCTCTCTCGAGGTGGGCCGAGGAGGTTGAATTTCACTCCTGATGGGCTCCCAAAACCGACATTTGATTTCCGCCTGGCTTCTCCACGATGCAGCCGCGATTTCACCCCAAGGGCCAGCAGGGGGCGCGCTTCTCTTGGCTGCCTCACTAAGGCCATTGCGCATGCTCCACTCCGACTGCGTGGTCGGGTAATTCCGGCTGCGAGTTGCTACCTGGGAATCTAGTGGGGACGGCCAAGAGGTGGGGAACTGCTGCTCAAATCCTCTCCAGGGGGAGGCAGCGAGATTCTGAGGCTTGGGGAGGAGCGGGAAATCCTCCCCTGTGCATGGGGGGAGATCCAAGAATGGGGCAGGGGGGCGGAGAGAAGGAAGCCTAAAGGAACTACTTGCTCACATCTTCAGATTCTGAGGCTGGAAGGATCTTTGGAGAGCCAGGCGAAGAGCCAACGAAGACCAGTTGCCCGGCGGTGTCAGTGGCTGGAAGATCCCTTCTGAGCCTGTCAGAGGAGAAGAAATAGGAAGGGCCCCAGGTCAGAAAAGCTTTTGGAGAATACGAGGGATCTTCACATGCTTGAATTCTTCCATTTCTCCCTGATGGGAGTTTTGGAGATTAATAATGCGAGTAGATATTTAGAGAACCTCGTTAGATAAATTAACCTTGCTTCCCTCCAAAGAGTATCTCATTTGGACCTATTCTCCTATTGGGTCTCATCCATCATCACTCATGGACACAAGGGTTTTGTGGGCAGAAAATAACATCCAGATCCTCTTTCATCCTGTCCTCTCAACTGCACTTCTTTGCTTATATTTCAGGTTCTGAGGTCCTTCCGGGAATGGGGAGTAATTGGGTGTAATTGGATCCCCAAGGATAAAAGTCAAGGTCTGAATTCCTCACTAGGTAAGGGGAGACTGTTCCATTGGACTCAAGGTTTTCTAGAGAAATTCTAGTTATCCATAATTCTTCATATCTTAGTTGTTGGATTTGGTAGAGGGTAACCCAAAAAAGAAAGATATGATTCCCTCTTCAAGTGAGAAGACTTAAGGTGCACAAAGAAAATCCCTCCCTTCAGGGCAAGCCTATGGTTTGCCTTTTGCAGAAGACCGACCCTTGTAGGGGACGTCTTGACTTGCATTCTGCCTCCAGCTCCACAATGAGAGATTTCTCTTTCTTTTTGGCCTTCCTTAAGAAATAGTTTTGATTAAATACCTACGCTGCTGGGCCATTTCCAAAACCACCTCTCCTTGCAGGCATGTTTCCTGGATTGCTAGAATTTCACAAATTGCACTTCCACGTGGAACATGATGGTTTCAAACTGCAGGTTGTCATGAGTATGCTTCCATGGGTTGTTCCAAAAGGTTAGGAGACCAATCAGTGATTCGGACAAAGGGATAGATGGGGAACTCATAAAATTTGTAAACCAGACCATGCTAGTTTTTAAGTTGGAACAATTAATCGGTGAAACAGCTTGCCACAAAAAGTTCTAAATGCTCCAACACTGAAAGTTTTTAAGAAGAGATTGGATAACCGTTTGTCTGAAATGGTATAGGGTTTCCTGCCTAAGCAGGAGGTTGAAGACCTACTCTTTTCCTCCAGAAGTTGTAAATGCACCTCCGAGATTCCTTCCAACTCTGTTATTCTATTCGATCCAGTTGAGGTTTGGTCTTGGGTGTTTGGGATTTAGTCTTCTCCTTTTATTCTTGGCTCCCAAGATGGAGCTTATGAAAGGCAGAGTGTAGAAGTGGTAAACAGAGATTTCCTGGGCAGGACAGGAAGAAACATAAAGTTGTGCCTTCAAGCTAGAAAAGATGTAATTGAATCCTTTCCTGTTTCCATCCTGTCTCTTTCTTAGTGGACAAAATACAGTCACCGTTGTTCATTGAATCATCTTCTATTGGTGGAGCTGAAAGAGCCGCTGGACTCCTAACTCAGGAAGAAAGAGATTAGCAGCTCATATGGGGGAGAGTAGGAGACCTCTAGTTTCTTTTGGAGACTCGACATATGATACTGCTATTCCTGAGCAAACCACAACAAGGAAATTAGAATTAGAAATTTAAATCTGTGATCAGTCAAACTACACCCATCTCTCAACTAAGTTTTGGAGATCTGTGGAATTCCTTAGTGGTTATATAATTCTGGTTTCAAAAAATGCCACATAGCAGTTTATGTTGCCTATCCCAAGAAAAAAGAAAGGAGATGAATAGGTAGGCTAAATCTACTTTATTGTAAGTGTAATCTTTGTTTCCTGTCGTTGGGGAAACAGATAAAAACAGGAGAAGCAGAAATTGCCTTGTGTCTTATCTGCATCTTGATGACTGGAGGTGCTTCCCTAGTATTTTCATGAGTGTTCATGCGAGTGATCAAGGCTGGCCCATCATATAACCGCAAAGAACATTTGGTTACTACCGTGTTTCTCATATAATAAGGCCGGGTCTTTTTTTTTTTTTTGAGCCCCGAAAAAATGGCTAGGCCGTCTTTTCGGGGGTGACTTAATTCCCGCCCCCTGCATCTTCGGGCGGGCGGGCGGCGATGGCTTGGATGTTGACCTCGGCGTTGGTGGGGAACTTCGTATCGAGGTCAATGCAGGCAGCACCATATCAGGGTGTGCAACAGAAGTACTTCCTTATGGCAAGCTCCCCCACCATCACCCCACCATTTCGCATGTTTTAATATAGGCCTTAATTTGGGGGGAGGGGCTTAATTTCGTTTCATGCCTATAAAACATGCTGGGACTTCCTATTGGGGGAGGCCGTATTGTTGGAGAAACAGGGTATGTCAGACAGGAATCCCACAGAATCTCTCAACAAATATGAAGTGTTGAGGTCGTTGGTAGATGGTGTGTGTAACGTACGCTATGCCACTTGATCAAGGTAGGTTGGTAATATTGCAGGTCAGCAGAGTCAGGAAAGGAGATAAAACATTTGAAGGTGTTTCACTTCTCATCCAAGAAGCTGAACACTTGGATGACTGAGAATCTCCATTGACATTTCTACTTTTAGGATTTCCATGTTGAAGGAGATCTTGCAAATTCTGTCGAGTCTTCTCACAGGGATTCTTCCTTCTTTAGGGAGGTGACCATCCATTTCAACAGTGAAGAGTGGTTGCTGCTTGATCCCAGCCAGAAAGTCCTGCATGAAGAAGTCATGTTGGGAACATCTAGGATGGTAGCCTCTTTAGGTAAAGGTTCCTCTATGCGTAACTTGTTAAAAATGATTTCATCTCTTCTTTTTTCCTCTTACATTAATTCCACACCCCATCCATGGTCTTCTAAGTAGCAGAGTTTCATTTATAAGAAAGAGATCAGTGTCGTGACTAAGAAGGATTGACATTCAGTCTTGTGGTTATCCTGGGGCCCTGGGTCATTACTGCAGAAATATTGGGAAGATGTTCAGGGAGAGGATGTTTTTGCCTGTTGCAGTTGTACAACACAGCAACAAATTTTGTCTTGCAATTATATATGTTGTCTTATTGAACGCAAGGGCCATGGTTGAGACAATTTGCGTGCCACATCCTGATATCAAGACTTGTTTTTGCTTTAAATTTTTAACTGCCAAGAATGAGGGTGAGATGAGTCTTTTAAGTTAGCAACTAATATTCATGCTGTTATTTCCCTTGTTGCTTTCTCCTCAGATGCCCAGTAATATATAAATCTATGCATTGGGACAGCATATTGTATGTTGTAGATTATTCTAATTTATTTTTCTTCCCCCACAAGCATTTGAATCAGAGAAGAAGGAAAAAGACCAAGGAGCCAAATTTACTGCCATTGCAAAAAATCAAAACTTAAATTCCTGAGGAGACATCTACAAATAAGTGGGAAGGAAGGAAACCTGAAAAGAAGCACAATTGGAGAGAAAAAACAATTCATGAATGTGCGGAAATGGATCGCATCCTGACTCAACAGGATTCCAAAGAAAATGGGAAATGTCAAAGTAGAAAAAGATTCAGAGCAAACCCCAATGTTAGTAACCACTGCAAAACTGGAAAAAGCTCCAGCCGTAATAACCTTACTTCACCTAAAATGATCCAGTCAAGGGACAAACCCAAAAACAGTGTGGACTGTGGAAAAAGTGACAAATGGAGAGGTAATTTAACTTCTCGTAAACAGATCCACACCAGAGATAAAATCTATAAGTGCCTAGAGTGTGGAAAGAGCTTCAGGGACTACATTTATCTAACCTCCCATAAATGTATACATACTGGAGAAAAATCCTCTAAATGTTTAGAATGTGGGAAGAGCTTTAAAAGAAGTAGTTACCTGATATGCCATAGAAGGATCCATTCAAATGAAAAACCTTACAAATGTGTAGACTGTGGTAAAAGGTTCAGTATGAAAATTTCCCTTACTTACCATAAAAGGATACATACTGATGAAAAACCCTTTAAATGCATAGAGTGTGGGAAGAACTTCAGGACTAGTGGTTGCCTGATATGCCATAGAAGGATCCATTCAGGCGAAAAACCCTATAAATGTGTAGACTGTGGAAAAAGCTTCAGTACAAGCAGTTATTTTACTAAGCATAAATTGATCCATGCAGGAGAGAAACCCTTTAAATGCATAGAGTGTGGGAAGAGTTTTACTCAAAGTGGTGGCCTTAATTCCCATCAAAGGATTCATACGGGTGAGAAACCCTATAAGTGTACAGAGTGTGGAAAGAACTACAGAAGTAACCCTCAACTGACATCCCACAAAAGAATCCATTCAGCTGAAAAACCTTTTAAATGCACGGAGTGTGGGAAGCCCTTCAGGAGTAGCAGTTGCCTGGCTTCTCATAAACGGATCCACACAGGAGAAAAACCCTATGAATGCATGGAGTGTGGGAAGCGCTTCAGTGTAAAGAGTTCTCTCACTTCTCATAAACGGATCCACACGGGAGAAAAACCCTTTAAATGCCTAGAGTGTGGGAAGGGCTTCAGGCAAAGCTGTGACCTTGGTACCCATAAACGGGTCCACACAGGAGAAAAACCCTTTAAATGCTTGGAGTGTGGAAAGAGCTACAGAAACAGCAGTTACCTGAACGTCCATAAACGGCTGCACACGGGAGAGAAGCCCTATATATGCCTGGAGTGTGGAAAGAGCTTCGCTATAAAGACTTCTCTTACTTCGCACGAAAGGATCCACACAGGAGAGAAACCCTATAAATGCCTAGAGTGCGGGAAGAGCTTCAACCAAAGCAGTCAATTTAGTTTCCATAACAGGACCCATACAGGGGAAAAACCTTATAAGTGCACAGTCTGTGGAAAGACCTTCGCTGCCAGTGGCTACCTGATTTACCATAAAAGGACTCACACTGGAGAGAAACCTTACAAATGCCTGGAATGTGGAAAAGGCTTCAGTGATAACCGTTCCCTTATTTCTCATAACAGGATCCACACAGGGGAGAAATAGTACGTATGCAATGAATCTGGGAAGAGTTAGAGTACAAGTCAGTCCCCTGCCACAGTAATACCTACACGCAGAAGAAATTGTGCCAGTGCACGGAACGTGGGAAGAGCTTCAGATTAAAAAGTCACCTTCCCATAAGAGGATCC